GTAATGAAAGAAAAGAAAAAGAATCTCGTGAAACAAGTGAAAGAGAAGAAGAAGAAGAAGAAAAAAGAGAAGAAGTAGTTAGTCCAACATGTATTCCAAATGAAATAGAAATACAAGAGACTTTTGAAAGAAATAAAACAGAAGAAAAAGGAAAAAGGGAAAGCTTGTAAAATAAATGTGCAAGACAAAAAGAAAGGCCACAATTATGCAATAAAATGAAACATGTATGTATGCGTTTAAGTTATGCTTATTTAGTATCAATATTTGTGTACTATTGTAATGACAATAATATACTATTTTGTTTTTTAGAAACCAAGAAGTTGGTAATGACAAAACTGTTGTCACAAATACGTTATTGGAACTTCTAATGGATTCCGAAAAAAGAAATAAGGAACTTCTTAACGAAAATAAAGAATTAACGAAAATAAATCAGCAGCTAAACATACAAGTAAAAGAATTACAAACAAATACAACGCAAAATGATCCTATCATTACAAAAATGGAAAGAAATATACAAGAGAAAGTTGAAGATATTGCTGTCAATGCTTTGCGAAAAATATTTACGCCAGGACAAATAAAAAGTTTAATGTCATTGCATAACGTCCGTGTTAAATGGTCATCGGAAGATATAATATCAGCTATTGGTTTGCGATCATTGAGCCCGAAAGCTTACACATATCTCAGAAATGTAAAACAGGTTCCATTACCTTGTGTATCAACATTGCGCAATTGGGTTGCATCTTTCAACATAGCACCTGGAATTTTCACAGATTTCCTCAAAATAATGATTGATAAAGGAAATAGTCTTTCCACAGCGGAAAAGTTAACAGTCATAACTTTTGATGAAATATACATATCTAATAAGTTGGACTTAGAAAGAAGAGAACAACGAATCTATGGTCCACACAAGACATGTAGTACAGTCACTTTAGACAAAAATCAAGCGAAACCTCGGAAAAAATGTCAGCAAGGTGAATTTTGGCACAGACCTTCGTTTTTGCATAAGATTAAAGGGGGAAAAAAGTTTACCATTATACAGTAGCCGCTAAGAAAAATAATTAAACAAATAGGACTCAAATTCCGTTTTCTTACAAATATCTCGTTAAATATCGATTTTAC